AAAATTATTTTCCTGCTTATTCTTTTTTCATCTCAAAATATACGAAATCTGAAATAATCTTACAAATCTAACAGCAAATAATATCTTTGCCGCCAATTAAGTGAAAAACAACATAATAATTAATAGAAAATCTAAAAAAGTAAACAAACACTGTTGTTATTGGTATAATGGTTGTAATTATTGGTATTCTTGAGTTCAGAAATAAATTGTTTTGTTAATCTGCTTAAAAATACCATGAATAACAAAAATACCGGGTCACCACATTTTTAAAAGGATTAACAAATCAAATTTGCTCTGAACTAAACAATAATTGTTATTGTAAAGGTGTATGTCTGTTTTGTAAAATTCTGTAAAGGGGTTCTTATTACATATTTAGTTCACTTACCATTACTGCTATTATTTTTCTCATAATTGCCGTCAAACTCTTTCTTGCCAATTGTAATATACATTTGTTCTTTGATGACTTAATTTTTCTTAAAAACTCAAAATACCTAAAACGATTCACAAGTTTCTTCTTCTTCTTAAGGTGCCTGTCATTTACTCATTGTGACTCATTGATTATAGTTCCCAAGTAATTGTATTGTGAGACACGTTCAATTCTCACTTGGTTCACATTCAGATTTGCTGCAGTTATGTTTTTCTTGCTGATGATCATTAGCTTGGTTTTGCTGGTGTTTATATCCAGTCCATAGGTTCTACTTGTTTATGTTATTTTGTTTATTAAGTTTTGCAGCTCTTCTATGGTATTGGAAAACACTATTGTATCATCTGCATACCGCAGGTTATTAAGCTTGACTCCATTTATTGAGATACCTTTATCAATATCTTTTAGGGCCTCTTCAAAAATGTGCTTCGAGTACAGATTGAATATCAGTGGTGAAATTATGCACCCCTGTCTCACTCCTCTTAAGAATTTGAGCTGATCTGTATATTCTCCATCTATTCGGAGTACCGCTGATTGATTCCAATACAGATTAGCTATAATTTTTAAGTCTCTTCCATCAATCCCTGTCCTCTTCAGCACTTCCATCATTTGTTTATGCCTGACTCTATCGAAAGCCTTCTTGTAGTCAATTAGGCATGCAAAAACATTACAGCTGACATCTCTACATTTCTAAAATAAGATCTGCAAGCTAAATAAAGCTTCCCTCGTACCAACGGCGTTCACAAATCCAAACTGATTGGGCGCAATTTGTTCCTCGCATTTCCGGTAAATTCTTTTGTGGATGACCTTTAAAAACAACTTCAGCAGATGGCTCATTACGCTTATTGTTCTATAATCTTCACAAACTTTTGCTCCTGGTTTTTTGGGCAATGGTACGAACTCCGATTTAAGCCACTCTACTGGTATTTTTCCTGCCTTTTATATTTCATTAAATATATCAGTTATTATTTTTATTTGTTCTGTATCTAATAGCTTCAGCAGTTCTGCAGGAATTTCATCAAGTCCCGGTGTCTTTCCATCCTTCGTTTGTCTGACGGCTGCCGTTATTTGTTCTGGTAGGATTTCGGGACCTGAATTTTCTTCAAAGGTGGGCTCTTGTACTGTTCTAAGGTCATGGAAAAGTTTCCCCAAGTATTCTTCCCATACTTTTTTTTTATCTTCTTTGGTTATAGCAAGATTGCCTTCATTATCTGTTATTTTTCGGCTGTTGCGTTTTTAAAACTTTCCAGCTATTTCCTTCACCTTTCGATGAACATTGAAGTTATCATATCGACTCTGATACTCTTCTATTTCTTGACATTGTTCTTTTTTTTGTTTCTCTTTGGCTTCTCTTATTTTTGTTCTGACGATGGTATGTATTCTCTTATATTCTTGCAGATTTTCTTTGTTTTTTTCTCTGATCCATAAGTTTCACAAGTTCCACAAGTTTCACAACAATTAATTATCCTTCATTGGTCTAGTAGACTAACAAGAAAGGATCTGTTGACTATTATCGTTCGTTGCTAGCGGCGCGCCAAACTTCTGGAGCAACAGTAAGTTATATATTTTTACAGCAACGAATTTGGTGAAACAGTAGGATATGTTATCTTAACCTAGTGTTGCACTGATTGAAAATATACTTTAAAATGTGTGTAACATAAGTGTATTTTATCGCGTTAGTGTGAATATTTACATCATACCTTAGTGTTACACTCAATAAAGGCACTATTTTTGACCCATTTTATGTTGATAACCGAAAATCACTATTTTTTTGGATGTCCTAGTCTTGCTCTAAGTCTGCCAGCCCGTTGATCTGTATAGCAGTAATAAATTTTATAAAAATTTGCAAACGTAATATTCACGATTTTATTTCTAAATATTTAGTTTCTGTTGTTTCGATAAACGACCACTCTTTGTTTAACTTGATTACATCAGTTATTATCAATTCCACTCACAAACTTTAGTCGAGACTTTACATTAAAGGTGGATTATCTCAAACTTCTGCTGGCAGAGCGTCGTATTTTACATTATTTGAATGGGGAAACCTAGCCAGGGGATCAAGTAGCGCTTAGGTTCGTCTGCTACAGCGACACTTGAATACTAAACAACCCTCTACATTGAAACTTTGTTAGTGAGATGTCACCTCAAAATAAAAATTATTAATTTAGATTTTAATCAATTATGTCTAATACGGAGCTTATAATTTTCCAAATAATAGCCTGCTATATTGGCAGTGGCGCACCTAGAATTATCCTGGTGGGGATTCGTTGGACACCGAAATTTTTTTATGCTACCTCCATTTTGAGTCCTTAAATTTGGTTCATCGCTAAAATATATACTTGGCTACCAGATCTATAAAGGCAACTAATAAGTTGATTTCTATTTGGTATGCTGCTTCTATTAATATCGTTAGTGAGACGTCGTGATCCGTACAAACTCTTTCCTAAGCGAAATTCCGGATGTTCCGTGGATCTCACATAAAGGATTACGTAGTTGATCAAATAACTAAATCATGATCAATATAATAATGGGGTGATAACGATGAAGCTACTGCTGGTCAGATATTAGCATTGTAATGATTTAGGCATGCCTGAGTGTCCGCGAGATTTAAACTTTTTGAAGTATTGAGGTATAAATCCGTGCTAATCAGTCACTTGCGTATTTTCCAAGCTAAATCAGAAACTAAATATTATCAAAATCAGTATGTAATGTATGAATATGTAGAACAGTATGTCATGCTATGTTCTTGTTCATTGGGGAGATAAAAGGTTTAAGTAGCTATGATTACTATTGTAGTACTTTAGTTTCCTTAGCAGTCTTCAAGCTTTTCTGTGGAATATTTTTACAGTTAACGTTTTTAACAGTGTTCATCGATATTTCACGTTTTAAAGCGTTAAGGCTGTCAATCAGTTTAGCAGCTAGTTCCCATTTTACAGTAGTAGACTGTTCATAAAGTCCTTTTTCACGTCAACTGAGTATTCACGGAACACTCAACGAAGTCTCCTCGGTATAAATTTTGTAGCTGTGCCTGTGGTAGCTCCTACAAATTTTTGGTAGCTATTTTGTATTAGTGGGGTCCAATCAAGATATTTGTTAATTGTGAGGTTCGTCTCTCTCGAGGAATTCGACAGGGTTTTAATTTAACATTCTTAATCCATTTCGCCTTTCTTTTTAAAAGCAGTATGATTTTTATATCATCCAACTGAGTCAGTTTACATAACATATAATTTACATAACATTTTAATGCGTGAAGGTATTAAGTTTAAAAAACTGATATAAAATTGCGAATGTATTCTAACGCGTGTCAAACTGACCCACTTTAAATTACAGTGAAAGTAACTATCTAATTCGAACTATGTTATGAGTATCTAATTAATTTAACAGTGTTGTTCCCCTGATACTACACAAGGGTCACAGCATAAGCAATGCAATAGCCAGCGCTGTTTTCAGCGGGCGTCTAAAAGAGGGATCAGTTGGACAATTGTTTTATCTCTAGAATATTAGGATATTACTGACTTTGTGAGAAATCAGAAAAAACATTACTTTAGATGGTGTTATATGTTCTGACAAATTATAGATCTGAATTGAAATTTAAGATTTTTCCAATTTTGGCATGTTTTCAATGTTCGTAGAGGGTAGAAGAAAGTGGGTGAATATCGACTAGTTAAAACAAAACTGGTATAGAGTGTTTGCTATAGCTTTTACGAATTTGAAACTTATACTCAGGATATTTGGTTCATTCAAAATAAAAGTACTGAAACTGAAACATATGTCTATTTGTGCAAGTGGTGATATTCAAATTAACTAATATAGACCTATTAAGTAATCTTTAAACAATTCTTTATTAAGGCCTAATTGTTAAAAATGGTGTTAAGTACAGAGTGAAAGTGTTTCTTGTGGAGCATTATTTTCGCTCATACGGAATCAGCCGGCGTAATAGTGCAAGTCTGCAATACGTGTGTAATCAATTCACAACAACGGTTTAATGACCGTTCTCCAAGTAATGCTGTTATTTTGACGGTTCTTGAAAAGTTTAGAAATACGGGTAAAATATTGTTCCAACGAAAAGAAAACTAAGGACATCCCAGGAGAGTTAACAACAACGATAACCATGGACGTATTTTTGAACGAATCTTAGAAAATCCGAAAGCTAGATAGACAAGAACAGCGTTGCATCTCTGCTTAAAACGAACTTCTTTGCAAAGAATTCTGAAGGAGCTGGGTTCCTTTTTGGTACGTGATTTAGGTACATCAACAATTACATCCAGGGATTATCATAGTAGAGTAAAGTATTGTGCCAGAATTCTTGCATTACAGTATGACAATCCTGAAGTTTGGAAAAATGCATGGTTTTCAGACGAAACACATTTTCATTTCTCAGGCCATGTAAATTGTCGCAGAAATCGATTTTTGGGCTTTGCCTCACCAGATGAAGTTCCCCTACATAGAGCAAAAGTGTGTGTCTGGTGTGAAGTTTCGGGAGACGGAATCATTGGTCCATACTTTATCGAAGAAATGGTAGGCAAGTCACACTTAATCAATAGAGGTACATACAAATGATAACACTCTATATCCCTGATCTACGTCAATTTTGTCGTGCACGTAATTTGGCATTTCGAGACCAATTTTTTCAGCAGGTTGGGGCAACTTGCCATACTGCTGCCGCAGTTCGTCAATTTCTTTAGGGACATTTTCCAAACAAATTAATTTCACGATTTACTGACTTCTCCTATCCTGCACATTTTCCAGACTTCACATGCCCAGACGCATACATTTAAGTCATGGCTAAAACTGCCGTTTTTTAAACGGGCACCACAAACCATCAATGAGTTAAAGTATGCCGTTCGAGCATTTTTCGCGGATTTAAGACAATCTTTATTCCATAACATTACGGGAAATCTGGAATATCGGTATGAAGTCTGTCTTGAGAAAGGAGGAGCTCATTAAGAACATGTTATAAAGTGTCAAAAATACGTATTTTTTAAAACAATAAAATAATTACAAGTTTTGTACTGTTTATTTTGGACTATACTGTATTATAAAAATAATTACAAATATTTTAAAAATACATATTTTTGAAACTCAAAAAATTCGGGTAATATAGATTCATCGGGTAATATCGAAAATGGAGATGGGTAATATCTATCAAGGATGGGAAATATCGATCACAGGTGGACAAGTTGGATAGTTAAGTTTACTTAGAACCCCTCTGTGGCTCAGTGGTAAGAGCGCCTACCTTTAAACCTAAAGATCGTGAGTTCGAATCTCATCTGGGTGGAAATTTTCGTTTATTAAAAATTAATAAATGAAAATAATTTCTATCCATGTGCGATCGGTACTCACCGGAGGGACCGGAGACGTTCGGATACAATTAGCGTCAGCAAAGACAATTACGTCGACTTTGCTAAGTATCAAGACAATTACTCTACACACACAAACACAGACACACACAAACACAGACACACATACTACATTAATAAACTTATCTTGATTGAGACTGGCTGAATGACAATTGTCCAAGCCAAAACACAAAAAAAAGTTTACTTAGGTTTAAGTATAAAATACATATCTAATTAGTTATAGTTATAGTTTGAGCAAAAATAAAGAGTAGCTGTATCCGCTTCCGTGCAGTCTGCATGAGCCTATAAACCACAGAGACGACATCTCTACATAATTTATTAGTCATAGTCATAGTCATACTTTATTGATCCTTTAAGACATTCAAAATAATGTATAGGATACGTCACTACAGAATTTAGTATAAAAAACATTAATGTGTATAATACAATATTCACAGTGTAACAAAATTGACGAAACATAAAATATATAAAATAACATTTTTACACGTAAAATATGAAGCTACTGCAGTTTATCCTCAAGATATTCATTTATAGAATAATATGCTTTTCTTAAGAGTAAATCTTTAACATTTAATATTTTAAACTCCAAAAATACTGCACATAGTGCACATAGTTCGCTTTCTCAAATTTGATGTGCTTTCACGGCATAAGTCTTCTTCTTGATTTCTGTTTTTATCTTGGTAGCTCCAATTGGTGGTTTAATTTTCTCAATCTCATTCTTCTTTTGCTTTTTTTGGTCTTAATTTTCTAATTGTTGTTATAATGATATTGATGTTAAAATGGTCGAGTATTGAGTTCGCCTGCTTCTAGTTTTTGTAGAACTACAGACTGGTAGTGCCGGTAGAGGGCACAGTTCACTGAAATATATACGAGATAAGCTTTAATTTTTTAGCTGCACAGATTTATCCTTATCGTCGATCAGATTAATGTCTGAAACTTCCTGTAATTCCAATTCAGATAAAGAATCTTCTGATGATGGTACTGCTTTTGGTCGCAGTTTTTTATTTTAAACTCCTCTGGGCCCTGGTAATTCCTCTAGGGCAGGGGTGGCCAACCCGTCGATCGCGGCCCCTGGGTCAGTCGATCGCGGGCAAGGAAAAAAATATCGGAAAAATAAAATAAATATTACGAACATTATTGGAGTAATCTTGCATCGATCATCGCGAGAGACTTATGAAGTGTTCACTCTGTACATAATACTATAAATATTATAGTATATGTACTATATAATGCCTATAAATGGGAAGCCGCTTTCTTTCTCTTTTCATTCTGCTATTTTTATCCCACTAGTGTAAGAGCGAACCACATCATGGTAAATCATGGAAAAAGAAAATTGTTGCTGCTTCATATCATCAATACATCAGTAGCAATACCGAAAAAGGGTAATTTAGAGCGTCACTTCAATAAAATGGATAATTAATACCAATCAGAGTTTTCACCTCAGAGTGAAGTTAGAAAGAATAAACTTCAGGCATTAAAATTTCTTTTGACTGCCCGGGAAAATATGTTCTGTACACCGAATGAACAGTCTAAGGCTGTAACTGAAGCTTCATACTTAGTTTGTTATGAAATTGCGAAAAAGTGTAAGCCGTTTTCTGACGAAGAATATGTAAAAGAAATATTCGAAGATTTTTCAGATTTACTGTTTGTTAATTTCAAAATAAAAATGAAACAAAAAAGTATATGATCTGCAGCTGTCAAGAAATACTGTGATGCGTCGTATAGAATTGTTGAGTAAAAATCTTAATAAACCACTGCAAATAGATCTACTCCAGTATTTTGGTTAGTTATTATTGTAAAGAAAAGGTTTCTAAGATTTACGAACAATAAATATCACATGGAGAAACGCCCTGCCTATGTTTTCAAGCCACAGAAGTATACAGCAGAAATTTAGTCAGTGGTATCAGATTTTGAAACCGTTTTAGAGATTTCAATCAAATTGAAAAGTTGGTCGAATTTATCAATTATCCATTCAATGATATTATTCATGATACATTTAAAATATCCAAACAATTTGCAGATATATTCCAAATAGAATAACTTTTTCTTAAAAATGGAATAATTGCTATGCGCTGCGATGTATTTTTGAATTCGAGATCAGGTTTACATCTAGATTTGTGGCCATTGGTGTGCAGTGACAAATATCCAAATTTTAAAAAAATGTGCTAGACAACTGGAGTCATGTTTTGGTTCAACCTATTTATGTGAATCAGCGTTTTCATATTGAAAACAAACGAAGAGTAAACAGTGTTCCAACTTGACTGATGCTCATACGTTGGATTCTTTAAGGTTGGCCATTTTCAACTTGAGGCCAGACCTTAAGAACCTAGCAAAATCTGTCCAAACGCAAGTCTCACTTGGCAAAATAAATAAAGAAGAATTACTACTTCTGTTTTATTTACGTATTACTAATACACACTGGTGAGCAATAAAATTTAGAATTTTATAGTTCAAAGCCTAATCGGTTTTACTCACATTCAAAATTCTTTTAGATCTCGAAAGCTGATAAAATAGTCCTTCAGAATCAGTGATTGATTTTCTGAAATATATTGAGGATATATATTCTGCTCACTTTTGACGTTAAAATTCTGGATTAAACGTTTTATTGCTCGCGAGTATAGTTAACAAATTCTTAATCGGTAGATTGCAAAAAATTAGAAAGACATACAGTAGATCTGGAGTCCAATTAAGTTGGCCACCCCTGCTCTAGGGGAACTGGTGTTGGCCATGGTGTTTGATGTATATCTGGCAGAGAAGTCACATTATTTTGATATTATTCAACTATTGGTATAGATATTAGTTCTTCTTCACAAAAATATCGGAATTGAAGAAAAAGATCCCTGTGGTTCGAAAACCATTGACAGCCTTCTCAATAGACGCAGCCCTATTAAAGGCATTTTTACAAGTTCCGCAAAGTCTGTTGTGTTGATTTTCTCATATTTTTTTGTTTTATATACTTGTCACATTCTTGGTAGTAAGCGGTCTTGAATGAAAAAAACGTGATATCTAGAAGCTGGAGACGGTGAGAGGTATCCAGTATCCAGGATATTCCAGTATCGCGACAAAAATTGTAGGAAGCCAGACTTAAATGCGTTGTGTGGTTATCTAGCACTTAAAGAACTGAATGGTTATAATTTATTCGCTTCCGGGTTTGGACCGTGTCATTTGTGAGTGACCCAAAAGTAGGTTCATCTCGACGTTTCGCTACAATTGTATGTAGCTTCTTCAGGAGAACAAAGAAAAAGAAAAAGAAAACAAAAGACAGGAAGATGGGTAGTTAGCAACGGTAACTCAGTTACTCAACGCAACCAGAGGCGAAAACCAAATGCCAGGACAGGGATTCACGTCCAACAGCTCAGAACACTAACGCGTCGAGAGGCGGGGAGTGAATCCGACGATTACTCTAGACTGAGATTCCAACTGGAATCTCAGTCTAGAGCCTCCGTCCGGTCCCGCTACCACGATGCAGCCACATGATTGGCCAGCGCGCGCTTCTTGACGTTCGCGCCACGGAGTGTGCCGATACGTCCCGACACGACAGGTCACCGCGACTGTAAATAGAGCGGTAGCGGAGTAGTAATCGTCGGATTCACTCCCCGCCTCTCGACGCGTTAGTGTTCTGAGCTGTTGGACGTGAATCCCTGTCCTGGCATTTGGTTTTCACCTCTGGCTGCGTTGAGTAGTTGAGTTACTGTGACCAAATGCCCATCTTGGTAGTTAGTATTCGCTTCTGGTTGCGTTGAGTAACTGAGTTACCGTTGCTAACTACCCATCTTTCTGTATTTTGTTTTCTTTTTCTTTTTCTTTGTTCTCCTGAAGAAGCTACATACAATTGTAGCGAAACGTCGAGATGAACCCACTTTTGGGTCACTCACAAATGACACGGTCCAAACCCGGAAGACGAATAAATTATAATTCTGACTCTGGCCGTGGAAGCCTACGATCTCATTTGAACTGAATGGTCTTTAGAAGCATTAACATGTCGCTGAAAATGTTTCAACAATTCCAAGAAAAGTTGTTCCGTTATCCACCCTGATTTGGAACATCTGTATATTGCCCCAATAGGACCGTTTTTGTCCAAACCATCTTTTATTCGATTTCTTCTCCAAATAAACATAAGTGGAATATATTGACCTGAGGCACTAAAAGCGCATAGTAGCATCATGGTTTGTCCTCGTTCGTCACTGGTAATTGCATCAACTTGTTTCTGGACTTTGGTAGCAACACTTTTACCAGGAATATGAACGTGATTGATACTCGTCTCATCAACATTAAAAAATTTGATGACATTCAAATTTTTAACAATCACATAGAGTTGCCAAATTTTTGTAAAATATCTTTAATTATTCACGATTATAAGCAGTAAATCTACTTAAACTTGTTGCTTCTGGTTTACGCAAACTGAGTTCTGTATGACGGTGCATAAATGAATAAAACCAGTCTTTTTCACACATTTTTGTTGCCATTTTAAATG